CAGGTGCTGCACTCCCAGCGGGACGCGGTTCTCCCAGCCCCTGCGCTCGCTGTGTCCCCCCTCTCCAGGGCAATACCAGGAGAGCCATGACGTTTCAGGCTTGCTCACAGACTCACAGAGTCTTCTTTACTCCTTCTGTTTTAAATTTTTTTATAATTTATTTATCTGTATTTATTTTCTTAATTATTTCCTTTATTAAATAATTTTTCCTTTATTTTCAGAAAAAAAAATTTAATGGAAATTTGTGTTCAAACATGGAGCTTGAAAAGAATATCCCCTCGCCAGATCCTTACTCCCTGCTGGGACTGATGCCCTCTCTCCTGGGAAGGGTTACTGGTAAAGCACAGTGAAGTCCAGTGAAATCAGGGTAAAAGTACAGTACAATAAAGCCCAGGGAGATCAGGGTAAAAGCACAGTACAGTGCAGTGAAGCCCAGCGAGATCAGGGTAAAAGTACAGTACAATAAAGCCCAGGGAGATCAGGGTAAAAGCATTGGGAGGTATGGTAAATTAAAGAACAGTGTGGTACAGCCACATCAGTCTGTGGTCCAGGAGTGGAAAGCTGTGGCAGTGCTGTGCAGACTTACTGCAGTCAGACTGGCTACATCACAGCCCAGCCTCAGGGGTGTAGAAAGACAGGATCCACTAGATTTGCACTAAGTTGTGATGCTTGTCCCCTCCACCGTAGCTGTACATAGAATCATTCTGATAGTGAAATTTAATATATATTTAAATAGATGCTTTTCTTTCCACTTTTTTTTGATGGGGTTCATGAGAATTTTTTTTTCTTCCTTTTGCAAACTATCCTCAGGAAAACTTGAGCAATGCACTAAAAAATATGCAAAAAATGGAGTAAATGTTGGGTGAACAGAAGCGAGAAGATGTAGATGTACACATTTGTATATAGATATTTTTGTCATGTGTGCTTGGACTGGGGTCAGGGGTCACATTCAGGGTTCAAGGATGTCTGACCCAGAGCCTTCTGGGAAGAGTCCCTTCTCTGCTTGGTGGTTGTTTTTGTGAAATGTTTTCAGTTGTCGATTTCTGTCACTTATTTCCAATATTAAAAGAGAAGATTTATCTATTTAAATAGACTTTGCTGTGTTTCTTTAAAACCGGGAAGACTTAATAGGGATGTTAAAATGGGTGTCATGACGACTGGTCACTACAGACCCCAGGACACTGTCAGTAAGAGTGGGGTGCTGACCCTGGTGTCCTGACGACTGGTCACTACAGATCCCCGAACACTGTCAGTTACAGTAGGGGTGTTGACCATGCTGGCCTGGCTAAACTCCACTCTGTGCTTGAACTTCTGTCCTCCCTAAAAATCTCCCTTTATCCAACAGGCACAGCAGTTTCTCTCTTGTGCCCTGACCTGTGTGCAGGGGTGCTGCCCACCAATGTGCGATGCTGTGGGTCTACTCCCTTCTGCAGGTCAGGAGAAGCGGAAATGCATGATTATTGTTCCACCCACGGAAACGTCACCATTGCACGGCTCTTTCACGGCTGTCTACCATCCTGCGATACCTCACACGGCCACTAGGTGACGTTAGACAAATATTTCTCTTTCAGGACGTGATACAAAGGGCGACAGCTACCCTGTGGTGCTGCTGTCACCCTTCAGGGGCGTTTGTCTTCCCTGTCGCGTCCCCTCTGAATTGAAAGGGTGTCTTACTGGCTTAATTAAATCGTTATTACCGCTGAAGGACCTCAAGATCGTATGATCGTAATGCAGGAGTCACCTGCGGCGAGCAAATCGATGTTTCACTGCGGATGAGCTCTGAAACTAGAGCACAGAAAGATATAAACACCTTCAGTTCAATTTAAAAATAGAGAACATTTCCATTCTTTTCACTACGATTCAGGGAATGGTAAAGGAAAACTGCAGCGAGACTCTGGGAGAGAACAGCAGAGGACTACTATTCCCAGAGAGCATTGCGCGCCCCACCGGGGCCTGACAGAAAGGCTCTGCGGTCCATCTGATTGGCCGCCCGCGGTTGCCTGGGTGCCGTCGCCAGGCAACCACCCTCCGCCTCCCCTCCGAGGCGCAGCATCAGCACCAGAGCCGGGGAGACTGCGGCCACACTGGAGCCGCCTGCAGTCCCACCCGGGGACGTGTCCGAGGCGCTGTTGTCGCGAACACCTTGTCCTCACCCCCAGGCCGGGACAGCTCCCACACACACACACATACCCGCAGAGAGCCCCGGGCAGACGGGCGCCGAGCGGGGGTTCGAGGCGCGGTGCGGGGGGAGGTGGGGCGGAGAGAGACGCAGCAGAGGGAGGGCCGAGCAGGAGAAGGGATAGGAGGCAGTGCGTGTGGAGAGGGGAGGCTGGGGCGCCGGTGACGTGGCGGCGCAGTGAGGTGAAGGTCCGGAGACCTGACGGTGCAGCGCGAGCAGGACCGGAGATCCGCGTGACTAGCGAAGGGGTGGGTGAGGGGGGGGGTGCACATCTCCACGCCGCGTCCCACTAAAACAACACCCGCGCACGGAGACGCCGCGCCGCCAGGGCGCTGCGATACAAATAAAGGGGGACCGGCGGCGAACAGCCCGTGTCGCTCGGGTCCGGATTATTGTGCTGCCGCTGCGCTCGTCCTGCGGATTCGCCTGCGTCTGCAGCTCCTGACGCGGACCTGACAGGAGCCGGCTCTGTGTATCACACCCGGTCCGGAGAGGCACCCCTGCCCCGCGGTGGGGTGAGCAGTACCGGCCCGGGTCTCGGCGGGCCGTGCAGGGCTGAGCGGGACCGGGACAGTTAGGGGGGGAGGAGGAGGAGGGGGAGGAAGGGCGGGGGTATCTGCTGCATGCGGCTCTCCGAGAGCGAGAGCGGGCTGCTGGCGCGTGAGTGCAGGGGCTGCGCCGGTCGCTCCCCCACGCGATGAGCTCTCGGGGTGCTCCGATTCCCGTCTCGAGCCCCGGCCTGCGTGCGCGCGCACACACACACACACACACCCACATCCACCCCGGCCGCGGGGCTCTTCCGTGTCACACGCGCCGTGGGTGTAGAGGGACAGGGGTCTGTTTTAAAGAACGTCGGGGGGCGAGAGGTTCGCCTCGCTCTCAGTGAGTACCGCGGCTCGGTTCGGCCCAGATCCACACGGACAGAACCGCTTCCTCGCCTCAGGGACTCGGGCCACTGCTGACACGGGGGTTCACCCGCTCCCCAAACACTTCCTCCTGTTAAACTGGCGCTGAACCAGCCCGCAGGCCGGGTCTCTATAAATACAGCTGGGGTGCAGAGACACAGCCGGGAGAACGCGGGACGGGTCAAGGGGACAGGGGCCGTCCACAGCTTCCCAGGGGACAGGCGCAGGGCAAGAACACGCCGCCCCAGGCACACTGCCCAGCCCCAGAGACACCTCGCACCCGGGCCCCCGCCGCAGAAGTCACACACTCCTGTGCTGTACGCTACAAGTCAACCGGGCCAGCAGCATCGCTGCCCACGGGCTCAGCGGCGGTGACGTCGGACCGGCTGTAGTGAAGCTACCAGCACCAGCAACATTTCTGCAGCGGCATGAGGGGGTGTAGCACTGCTAGCCGTAGGTTTACCATGGTAAACCGTATCAGCCTACGGATCATCAGTACAAACCGTGGGATTAACACTGTTTAAATCCCGAACGCTGGGATCAACACCACTAACATCACTAACGGCGAGGTTAGCACCAGTAACATCATTACCAGAGGGATTGACACCAGTGACGCTACCAACACTGGGATCAGTACCAGTAACATTTCTAACAGCGGGATTACCACCAGTAACATTCTTACCAGTGGGATTGACACTGGCAACATAACCAAGACTGGGATCAGTACCAGTAACTTTACTGTGGGATTAATAGGGGTAACGTTACTAGCAGTGGCATCAATCACAGTCACAGATGCGCAGATTTTAACTCCTGCTCCCTACGGTCGACCTCCGGTCCCCAGCCCCTGGCCCGGACCTGACAGGAGCCGGCTCTGTGTATCACACCCGGATACTACGGAGAGTGCTGTCATACCGGACTGATCCCAACGGGTTCTGACACGGACACTCGGCACATTCTGGGCTCAGCCTCTCTGTGCTGAGATTGGCCTGCAGGAGGGTGGGCCTGGTTCTAGAGTGTCTGGGCCGTGGAGGTGAAGTGGGGGCCCAGAGACAGGTCACTGGACTCCGCTGAGAGGATCTGGGTCGTGGGAGAGCTCCGGAGTTCTGGGCCCGGTTCCGCTTCAAAAGCTGTCTCCGGGCTTCTGCTGGCCGCACCTGGGCCGAGACTGGCAAGTTCTGAAAAGGCCCAAGCGTTGTTCTGTCGGATCGCCGGCCGGGCTTTCCGGGAAATCTCCCCCGCATGAAACTCCGGGCTGCATCGTTCTGAAATTGCAACTGGGCCAGGTCCAGCCCGGAGCTGCTGGTACCAGAGGGGAAGACAGGAAGTTAAAAACTGGACAGCCCGCTCGCCCAGGCCCGGCTCTGCGGCCTGCTGTTGGATCAGAACCAAAGCCCCGCGTGAGCGGATCGGCTCGGCGCGATCCCAGAGGTTCCGGGACCCCGGGGGGGACAGACTTCGCCTCCTCTTCCTCTTCCTCCTCCTCCTCCTCCCCCCCCCCCCCCCCGCGGGACAGGATGCCCTCCCAGTCGGACTCCAGCCGCTCCCTCAGCCTGGGGGGGCGTGGCGGGCGGCTGTCCCGGCTGGGCGTGGCCTGGGAGCGCGCCCAGCTCCTGCTGGCCAGCGGCCTGGTCCAGATGGGGCTGGGCGCCATGCTGCTGGCCGTCAGCTTCGTCTCCGTGACCTTCACCACCTCGGCCCGGGTGCGCCACTCCTGCCCCTTCTGGGCCGGATTCTTCGTGAGTCAACCTCTCTCTCAGCCGGACGGCGGCCGGTCAGTAGCCACCCCCTCCGTCTATAAGCCAGCGCTGAGTTACCCCCCCTCTCTCTTTCTCCCCCTGCAGGTGGTGGCGTCAGGGCTGGTGGGAGTGATTTCCTGGAGAAGACCCCTGACGTTAGTGGTAAGCACTTCCTGTTCTCCCTCACCGCCACACGAGGGGAGAGGGGCAGGCAAGGACAGGACTAGAGTGAGAACACTTGTATGGCACTCTTCTGGACACTCCGCACACGGCACTTTACTGGCAAAGGGGAATCCCACTCTCACCACCAGTGTGCAGCCCCACCTGGCAGGACGCAGTCAGAGTGGGCCAGTCCTCTCCCCACACACCAGCTCACAGTGGGGAGGAGAGCAGAGTTATGAGGCCAGTTTAATGACCACAGAGCCAGGAGCTTGGTTTTATGTCCCATCCAAAGGTTGGTGCCTTCCAGTATAATGTCCCCATCACTATACTGGGGCACACAGACCTGACGGTGAGACACAGACGGTGAGCACTCCCTGCTGGTCCCACTAACACCTCTTCCAGCAGCAACCTTAGCTTTCCCAGGAGGTCTCCTATCCAGGTACTGGCCTGCAGGGTTAGGTTTAGGGGCAGAGAGGCAGCTGTGTTCTCGTTCCTGCTCTCTGACACTGTGGCGTGTCCTCTGTGTGTGAGCTGCTGTTCCTCTCCCGCCCTGCAGGTGTCACTCTTCATGCTGTTGTCAGCAGTCTGTGTGATCCTTAGCCTGGCTGGGTCTATCCTGTCCTGCCAGAATGCCCAGCTGGTGAAGTCACTGGAGGTGTGTCAGGTAAAGACACTGAGACGGATCCAGAGTATCTATAATATCTATGATATATATTCTGCAAGTGTACAGAGTGT